GAACGTTAAGATGTTGAACTATTGTAAATTCATTTAAATGAATTAATCTCAGAAATTATAATTGCGTGCCGATATGGTTGTCGAACTTTCAACACAATCAAATCTGAAGATATTAATAGTCTCCCCAAATTTCCCAACTTAATATTAAATTAAATTACTAATTGTAAGACATAATTAACTGCCATTTTTATTTACGATCTATTAGCTGCCACTTTATTTATGAATCCCAATTGTTATACTAAAGGAATTAAAAATTACGTTATATGTATATATATAAATCGAAGGGCTTATTGTAACAATGGACTAATTCACATCTTATGAAAACGTTTGGGACAAATAAAAGCCTCTGTCATTCATTTATTTCTACCAATATCACAGTTTCGATACTACGTTGTGGATTAGTCCATTGCTACAATCAGCCCTTCAATTATTAATTACATTCGTCTAAAATATAATTAATTTATTAGTTGCCACGATTATTTATTTGTCAATCCCCGATTTTTACGTTTTATATTATTAATTAATCATTAATTATTTTTCTATGTCACTAAAAACATAAAATAAAAATATGACAATTGATGAATTAGCTCTACTCTATTTTTTCATATAATGTCCGAATAATTGCGATTTTTTTCAAATTTCGAGAATCTAAATTTGCCTCATGCTCTTATCAAACTAGAAGTTGAGATTCAATTAAACCAATCAAAAGAAAGAAAACCAATACCAAATTCAGGGAACTTTGCCTTTGATATTTATCAAATTCAATCTCAAACTCAATCTCTACTATCTTTAGTCTATAGGACTTTATGGATTGCAAAAATGACGATTTAAAAAAATAAGTTTACGCGAAGTCAAAAGAACGCTGCGTCTTCTGCGAAAGAGGGAACGACAACAAAACGAGAAATGCATGAGGGGCGTGCTCGTGATACCCAAGAAAGAGAGCAGCCAACGAGGGCAGAGGGAGAAAGGACTCGTAATCGCCACGAAAAATACAGTCGTTCTCGGTCAGGTCAGACCAGGGACAGGGGCAAGGTGGGATAGGTCTTTGTTCGGAAGGGGCAAATTGTGGGATGAAAAGCTTGTGACACGGCCAGCTGTTCGAATCACGACCCGGGGTCTGCCTGGACGGGTGTAAAGTTTGTTGACACACTCCACTGGCTATTACCGCCATACGATTTTGTATTAAAAAATGCTCCACGAGAAAAAGAGGAAACAACCTTGAAGCCGAAAATCACAGATATTTAAATTGATATTTAGCTTCCCTTCCAATCCGTTATTTTATTTCAATTCTTTCTGGAGTCTCCGCAGAAATTCTTGTCTCTAGAGTCAAGCGAGGTCTACATAACATGTTGTCTATAGAATTACGATAAAATCACGTAAGTTATACGATAATTAATATAATAAATAAAAACAATAAAGTTTAATTGCTCATTATGAGTTTCTTGAATATAAAAAGGAAATTATATAACGTTTCGCTTTTACATTTAGATATTTGTTAAAGTTGAGCCTTTCTACGACATTTCAACACTTTTCGCGCGCTTGCAAATAAAGATCGGTGTATTTGTCAGCTTGTGAAAACAGCTGAATCACGACTCTTGGAAAAACATCAGAGCATTCTTGCAAAAAGCGAGAACTACTTACTTGCGTAAATATCGTTTAAAGTATCACGTTCAATATCAAATCTTGATGAATTTAATTGCTGATGAATCTTTTCAAAGAAAATTGTTCGTTTAGAACCATCGACTGTCACGACTATGCAATTTATGATTGGATTGGATAATTTCGTTAGCTCTGGCTCTAATCTATTTCTAACTAAATATTGTGTCTTTCTTTTCTTCCTATCATAAAACTCAAAATTGAATTGTCTGCTTGGAATAGATTAACCCAAGCGGTATAATTTTGTCTAATCTATTTCTAATTAAATATCGTTTCTTTTTCTTTCTATCGTAGAAAACAACGTTATCTACTTGGAATGAATTTACTCAAGCTACTCTGATATAACTTTGTCTAATCTATTTCCAATTAAATATTATCTTTTTTTCCTTTATATCATAGAAAACAACGTTATCTGCTTGGAATAAAGTGACCCAAACTATTGATACAATTTTGTCTAATTTATTTCTAATTAAATTTCGTCTTTTTCTCTCTATCGTAGAAAACAACGTTGTTTACTTGGAATGAATTGACTCAAGCTATAACTTTGTCTAATCTATTTCTAACTATATACCGCTCCCTTCAAAAATGACACAACTAAAAAAAACAGGATTTTTTAAGTAATTATCGTTAATGAATTAAGTAAACATTATCCTATCATTTATCAAAAGTGAATTTAATTTTATAAAAAATCGTTAAAATGTCATTCAAAAAGGGTGGTTTTTTAAAGGATTATGAAAACAAAAGTGACACAAATGACATTTGATCATATTAATTATATATTCGTTTTATCGATTTGATTAGTCATTAATTTTCTGTCAAGTTGAAAAATTTTCTTTTTTTCTGGGAAACTTAATTTTTTGCATTGTCACTTTTGAAGTGGAGGAGTGATATCACTTTCCATTGTAGAAAACAAAGTTGAAATGTCTGCCTAGAATGGGTTGACCCAAGCTATCGGTATGCTCGATTATGACAGGAGCTATGACTAATTGAGAAGGAACACGAAATCACTAGGCGCAAATTAGAACCAGGACACAACAAATCAAGATTTCTGGCGCACCTTGTTCTTAATGCGAGCATGCTAGCGGAAACGATCGCGAGAGAGAGAGAGAGAGAGAGAGAATTCCTCGAATAAGCAAACCGTGTTTTTTCTCTTTTCTTTTTCTTCGACAGATCTGTCATTATCGTAAATACGTCGGATTTCCCAAATAAAACGCAACTGTATAAGGAATATCGACGGATATATTCTGGGGCATCTCGTTCCCTCAGAGAAACAGGAAAAAAATCATGCGGCACACATATGCTTTTGACGTTTCGCATCCGGCGTCGTCAGGTTAACGCCACCGATTATATCATACGCTTTCGGTAAATCGACCGAATTTGAGATACCGGCGGCGCCGATAAGCGAGAATCAAGATCAACGTCAAGCGATACGACTGCGATCACGCGACGTGACACATCCGTTTTTTTTTTTTTTATTCAGAAAGGAATCTGGAGCCTTGCAGCAAGGGAAGAAGGTAGGAACGTCGCGCGGTCTCGCATGCTTATCGCGTACGCGCCCTCTCACACCGTCTCACTCTCTCTCTCTCTCTCACTCGCTCGCTCTTTTTCGTTCTCTCTTTCTCTCTCTCGCGCGCGCGCTCGTTCCCTCTCGCTCGCTCGCTCTCAGTCGCCGTCAACGGGTAGTGGTTATCTTACCTGTGTGCTTCTCCGTCTTCGGCGTGGAGGCCATCGTTTACCCTGGTATGTCGCTCGCCGGTGACGTCGATCTCACTATCTCACCACTTCCGCGCACCGCCGCATCGTGTACTACACACTGGAGGCTGCCGCGGCGTTTTCAGTCTGTTGTAAACCCGACGCGCATCGCTACATCTTCGTTTGTCGGCCATTTTTCGGGCAGGCGGACGCGCGCGCGCGAGCGCGCGACCCGCCATCGGGCGGCAGGGACGCGAAACCGGGTGGGCCGTTATGGCGGACGCGTTGTCAATCGCGTGACATTTCCCTCCCGCGTGCTTACTCCGCGAACGCGGACGCCGGGTACGGGTCGACGGCGGACGAACGTCCGCGTGTCTTCGCGAGCGAGGCGCGTTAACGAGACGCGACGTGTGTCGCTTACGCCGCACTGTGTGCGGTGAAACTTAACCACGTTGCTCCGGCGCGGCGATTCGGCGTGTATTCCTCGCCACGGAAATCTCGTCAACGGAGTGAACACAGCCACCGAGCGCGCGCACCGCTACAGCGCCGTGCAAAAGTCGTCGCGCGCCGCAAGCGATAGTACAGTCCGCGTGGAAAGTTTACCCGGCGGCGCGTCGACGGCTACAGTCCCAAGCGAAAGTTTCGCGTCGCTCCGGAGAAATTCGCGCGCTTGGCGGATTATTTTGAATCGTGCGAACACGGCGCGTTGTAATCCTTTCCCGTTTTTCACGCGAACGATTGTGTACAGATATCTTTAAGAATCGTATTGCATTTGTTCGTGTTGCTTGAAATCCCCAAAAAATGTTTGCACTTGAAAATAAATAAATATATATTCAAGGAAAAAAGAGGAAACGTAGATTGAGCACAAAAAGCGCAAGCAACACTTACAGCATAAAAAGAAACGAAATAAGAACTTGATCGTATGCACTTTGCGAAACATTCCAAGCATAATTACTCAAATTTCAAGTTTAGAGTAAAAGATCGTCCGGACGACAAAAGGTACACTGCGATCTTGCGATAAAACTCTGCTTCAAAAGCAGCACTTGATATCTGTTACGATAGATCGGTACGATCAATTAATTCCTTCACAACGTTGACAGGGGAAAGGCCCGCGCGATTATTACTCGCAAGGATATCGGGACACTGAGGCAACATGGGCAACTCCGCCTTGAAGAGGCACTACGAGACCGCGGAGAAGACCGCCACCCTGAAGCTGTCGCAGTGCAAACTGGATAAGTTCTCGCGGAAACTCCATGACCTGGCGCCGACGCTGCGCACTCTGGACCTGTCCGAGAACAGTTTCACGACACTGCCGAACGAGATCGGCGACTTCACGCTGCTGAAGCAGCTGAACTTCAGCCATAACCGACTGACCGCTCTGCCCGGTACGCTGGGCGCGCTTGAGAAACTAGAGGGTCTAAACTGCGCCACGAATCAGATCAGATCGATCCCGTTGTCTTTGGCGAATCTGAGCCACTTGAAGCAGGTCAATTTGTCCGACAATCAGATCTCCGACTTCCCGCTGATGTTCTGCGACCTCAAGCATCTGGACGTTCTGGATCTGTCCAAGAATCGACTCACGATCGTGCCGGACGCCTCTGCCGGCCTCCACGTGATCGAGCTTAATCTTAATCAGAATCAAATCGCCACCATCTCCGAGAAGCTGGCGGATTGTCCGCGATTGAAAATGCTGCGATTGGAGGAGAACTGCCTACAGCTGAGCTCGGTGCCCATTAGACTCCTCAAGGACTCCAAGGTCTCGTTGTTGGCGCTCGAAGGGAATCTCTTTGAGATGAAGCAATTCGCGGATCTGGATGGTTACGACACGTACATGGAACGCTACACAGCGGTCAAGAAGAAGATGTTTTAAAGGATAGTTTCACATTGGAAAAGAATGTATTGTTTGTATTATACGTATGAAATTGTTTGGTAGGTATTGAAGTTACCAAACGTCGAATGGATAATGTCGAAGAGAAAAAGATTTAATTATTTGGCACTTTTGTATCATCGATTTAGGGCCATTGTCACCAAGCTTCGATTAACTTAGCTCGCATTAATTCTCCGACATCAGCTTAAGTTGGAAGTCTGCAAAGTTACTAGGCCGACTAAGGCCGAGTTCCACAACTCACGGTTAACTCTTAACCATGAATTGTGGAACTAGGCCTAACCCCCAGTTCCACAACTCTCGGTTAAGAGTTAACTGTGAGTTGTGGAACTGGGCCTAAGGGTGTATTCCGAACCAGATTAGCTTAGCTTATTTTTTTCCTTAGATATTGGCAGTTCTGTAACTAAACCGAGAAGTGTTCCGAACCCGTCGGCTGTCATAACTCGTAACCAATAGAAGCCAGTAGTTAAGTTCGACGGCCGATTACCTTGCTTTCCAGCAAGGACACAGTCAGACACTGTGTAACACAGTGAGTCGTTTCATTTTTGTTTAACGTTGGCAAACAACAAGGATAAAACGACTCACTGTGTTACACAGTCTGAATATGTTCTTGCTGGAAAGCAAGCTTAGTTACGGAACTGCCAACATCTAGGGGAAAAAATAAGCTAAGCTAACCTGGTTCGGAATACACCCTAAGTTAATCGAAGCTTGGTGACAATGGCCCTTAAGAGTAAACAGCCGATGTAGAGATATTTAAAGTGATTGAGAGTATTTTAGATCAGATTTACAAGATATCACAATTTGGAAATATTTTCTTTCTGACACGTATAAATCAAACTTTTTTTTGTGAGATAAATCATAATATCTATCTCTAGACTGTTTATAATGTTTATATCTATGCGATCTATAAATAAGCGTGATTCAGAAATGCACATCGATATCTTTGTCGATAAACGTTAATGACCAAATTAAATAACTGATTTTCGATCAACTGATATTCAACGGAACAGTCATTGTAAATAATTATTTCTTTGTTATTTTTTTTTAATGTTATTTCTTTATTTGATGTAAATCTGAATATCGACGCACGAATATATACGAACATATACGCTTTCAAATAATCTCTTACACAAAATGCCTAAAAGAAATATTCCATCCCTTATTTATACTGTATCTTATATAAATGCTTATTTATCAGAGATAATGATTACGGAATGATATACGTTATTTTATGGCATTCAAAGGACTGTGTACATGTAGCTTGTCAAAATATTTTTTATGTTAAATAAAAGATCTTATCTTTTATAAAATTAAAATAATTTTTTTATTAATAATCTTAAACCAATGATATGAAAATTGTGTTTTGCAGAAGTAGCAATTAAACAGCAACCTGTGTTTGTTTGGAATATATTTAAATGGTCAATCCTTGAAAACATTGCAATTTTTATGATGCACAGATAAATTAAAATGTATTTTCAATTTTGCTGAATTTTTCAAATTAAATTGAATGCATGTAATATTTAACATTATTTATAAAATTAAATCGAGACGAATACGGATCGAAAAAGTTCGAATTCTGACCATTCCTGCCGAAAATTAATAATAAATTCAATGGAAATCAAAACAAAAATGGAAATAAAATTAGATTAAAGCGATGCAATGCTGTTAAAATAACAGGTACAGCACTTTTTTTTTTAATATGATTTGAATACACGTCTGTGTTTTCATAAATTATATCAAATAACACAGTTATTATGCATTTAAAAAAATATTTGAAGAAATATGTTTCTCGAACGATATAAACTTTCCTGTGATGCATTGAATTGTATGACGAATGTTGACTGTTAATAATTGTATAACTTTTATATACGGATACAAACATACCGTGTCGCTTCCACACGGTTGTGAAAATAATAAGATCGTTGAACTTTCTTATGGTCAACTGCGTATTAACCTTCAGCTGAGCTGACGATCGTAAGAATTCTCTAAATTACAGATTACGCAAGACAAGAGACATTTATCGAGGAAATTCTGCAATAAAATCGACATTTCCATATTTATTTATATCGAATATGTATTACATTATTTATAACGCTTAACGCGCAACATTGCGTTCACACATTTCGTTGAAATTTCACAATGCAACACATGTTTTGCTAATAACACTATCATAGCCTTTTTAAAAATTAATTTTGGATATACCATATTTAACTATCAACTTTCAGAATTATTTAAAATTTCTTCTCTTTTAACGCGCAAATTGTTTTGAATTTTTAATGTATTATACATTTAATTGTATTAAAAATGTTTAAATATATATTATACATTCACGTTAATGTATATATTGTATTTAATATTTAACATATTGTATTTAATATATAGTACGTTTCTCTCCGTGAAGCATTAAAACAAATAGTGAGAAAGCAAGATGTTAAGAACACACAAAGAAATTAATTTCTAGATTAATTTATTAGTTATATATTTGATATCATAATTTAATATTATTTTTGTTTACAAACTTTTACTTTATTAGTAAAAGAATGTGTCATGCATTTTAGAATGTAAATTTTATTTTATAGCGAATTCGGTCACTCACACTACTCTGATCGGTGCACATTAGACTGCTTTATATAAGGTATCTGAATGCAGTGGTATGATATAATCAACTTTAACAATGAAATAATACATGTATGCTCTATTAAATAATGTGACAATGCCATTATTGGCCATTTAATGTGATAATGTTATTATGGGCCATTTAATCGTTTAAATTATTCATATGCTTTTAACATTTAACTTCGCCGCATGTAGATATAGCAGCTTTTAGTATACACTAATCTAGTGTAATGCAAGTGACCGAATTCGCTATTAGTTACAGACTTCGTCCATAATTTATGTGTATGTCAAGAGCAATAGCCCTAAGGCGTCTTTGCTACCTATTGCAATAATAGAAAATGATATCATGAAGAATTCTCATTAAGACCATATATGTAATACAGACAAAATTTTATTAAAATTTTGATACATTCTATTAGACTTATTTACTGCGTCGCGCGTCGTCCGATCAAAGATTCACGATGAGCCTTTTTACGTACATTTACGAGAGCTCGTTTTATGAAATTTGGCTTTTGTCAAAATTCGTGCAGTAGCCATTCATTGAATGAGAATTAATATCTTCTGCTTAAAATCTACTTTCCTTTTAATCCTTTAATTTTCCATATTTAACAATATCGAAGTGCTAGAACGTGAGAAGAAATGCGATTGAACTATGCGATCGATAAATATATTTATTTGTTGAAACAAAATTTCATAAATCAAGGATTCTCTTCATGTTTTTGATTTTGTTCAAATCAGTTATCATATATATTTATATAGTCACAAATATATATTTATTGGTATTTAGGCATACACGTTTCAAACATTCTTCAAATTTTTACGTATATTTATGGTCTCTTCGTGTACGCTTCTTTGAAGAAAATATATATATAATTGTGTGTATGTAATCTTGTTTCTTTGTTAAAGTTACAAAGGAAATAAATTATGTATTTATTTTTATACCATTTTTTATTACATATCAATTGATATAATCGATTTGTTTAAAATCGAAAGTCTTTGTAGATATATCAATAATTTCAATAATTTATATCAATAATAAGTTAATGAATATTAAAAGAGCTCCTTATTTTCAAAACAAAAATAAATTTTTATTTTTAAAACGTTAGCGTAATATTCTGGAGGCTTGTTGAGAAACTGAAAGAATTATACAATTTTGCCATTTCCAGTTTCGAAGCATTTTCTGTTATTATTGACGAATCAGCATCTTCATGTATCAAAGATATAAACAAAATATAATAGCTTCTATTTTACGCAATTAAAGTGGACGAATTTTGAAAACTGAATACGTCAAATAAAGTTCAAAATAAAATTTTATATATCGCAACTTCGCAGATTGCAACGTTCTTTGTTCATCAACACGTGAATATATATAAAATAGTTATCATTTTATTAGATTTCTACTCCTTTTGTAGAGATTCAATTCGCAAGTAAACTATAACAATAAAATAAGATGAAGGGTATGTAATGTAGAAGACAAAAGAAGTATAATGTTACTCGTAACTCGAAGAATTCTATTTTATGATATAAATTTTCATAAAAGAAATCTTACAACATCGAGGTTTCTTTAACAGTAATGACAAGTAACACGATCACGAATACGTAAGATTACTTTAATTTCGGTTTAACTTATTAGCTCTTTTTTAGTTTTTCTTAGAATTAGAAAAAAATAAGGAGTAAATTGAACCAAGATGAAATTAATCTTATATTAGTGGAACCAGACTTCAAATTGCTAACATTTTGTTTTCTATTTGATGTATAAGACTGTTAAATTTGACAATTTGCCAGCAGATTCAACTAGAATAATAGCGAATTGGAATCAATTGCATTGGCATTAAGCATATACGTTCCGTCAGTAAAATCTATCGACGTAATCTAACAAGCATGCAGAATAGAGTAGAACATTGCAATGTATTGGCATCAAATGTATTAAAGGCCTGTTCCATCTTCAAATAAATCATGTGATAAATTATTTAATGGATAAAAACGCGAATGAAAGAGAGAGAAAATGAAAGCAAATAAGAGAGATTTATCAAAAGTTGGAATAATTCCGCCTACTTTATCAGCAACTCTCGATATATTTAACAGTTCCCAATATATTTGACAGCTCTTGATATAATTGGCAGCTGATTGTCAGTAGGAACTGAATGTAATCTATTATTTCGTAATCATAAAATATTATTTATTTTTAAATGGAACGGCTAGATTGTATCCGATTTTTACAATCAATCTGCTATCACGTTTTATTGACAAATTTATATTTCTGTTGACGTTCTGTCAGCAGAAAATTTACAGTAAACACTGCTATTATCACTTTTCGATAAATTTAACTGTTAGATGAAAAATGTATATACAAATAAATGAAACACGTGAATGTGTAAAGCTTTCTTAGCCGACATGATCGACGTCTGTCGCTGCTAAATCGGCCATTGACAAGCGAACGAAAGACTGCCGAAGAAAACTGCATCGAGCAATTTTGCAAGTCTGTGATATGGATAAGAGCGGTGCATTGTTATGAAAGATGTATGTACTGCTTGAACGTTTGAGATGTTCATGCAACGCGTGGACGACGCAATCGCGGTAGGAATGATCATTTCTTAAATAATAATTCCGATCGCTCGTATTTGTCACGCTATTCCGAATACTTGAATGACTGAAATATTGATTGTTTATGTTATGTCTGTACCGTAAAAGGAGACCCAAATAACGACCACCGCCGGCCATTTTGAATCGAGGGCCACGTTCCACAAGCTAAATGTCGTTTCTAACGTGAAGGTGCTTTTTCATGCTCGACGCTCATTTTTAACGGCAAAACAGGTCATGTAATTAAAATTGACGCTTAATATTTGTCAATTTTTATCACGTGATCTGTTTTGACGCTAAAAATGGTAATTGTTGTTATTGCAATAAATTTTATATTATTGTATAGTTCGTATATCATTCGTACAACTAATCCTTTAATTAAACAGAAACGATTAATATATATTGTTCTTTTAAAAAAGTACGTATTAATAAACTTAACAAGTATGTATTACATAAATAAATTTTTGAAATCGCTCTCATCTTAATTGTCGTCTCAAATAATAATTTCAAACATATTTTTTCTTAAAATATGTAAAAAGACATAAGCCGGAGCCCCAAACTTTTGTAAAAAGCCTCTAAATGTAAAAGGCTTTTTACAATAAGCCATTAATAATAAATCAGAAATCAGAAGGTATAAGAAATTGATCAATCACAGTCGAATGTGAAAAGAATAATCGATTATGATTTGTCAATTTTTAGCTTCTGATAATTTCTAATTTATTACTAATGGCTTTATTGTATAGAAAATCTTTAATATATATTTCGATCGGTATGGCAGTTTTAACATGAATGTCAGTGTTTAAAAATATAAGAGATTGAGGCCGATATTTATAGTCGATTCGTAAATTTAAGACTGTTAAATACATGTGTCTTATGAACCAATCAGAGAGCTGTATTAAAACATTTATACTCTCTTAAGACAGTCTTAAAATAAAAATGGACTATAATTATGAATACCGCCCTAAAGTCTGGTGCATATGTTGATATTCTGAAACAACAAATAAGTTTTTACAACATATATTATACAATATATTATTATGTAATATAATATATATTCTAATTAATATGCAATAAAACCTTAAAAATTTTGATAATTATTGTAAACAGATAAAATTAGAATTTAAAAAGTAATAGCATCAACCACTATCACAAAGGATGAGGAAATGAATTTTACCTGGTAAACATTTTTTTCAGAATTTTCACATCAATTGGAATTCTTTTTAGAAACATTAAGGAAGTCTACATCTTTTCTTAGAATTTTTCATATGTGAATTCTGAAATATTCTGAGAAATATTCTAAGAATTGTTCACACGACTTGTCATTCTATAATTTCTGAAAAAATATCTTAAATTTTTTTAGATTTTATAAAATTTCATCAGAAATTATAGAATGAAAAATTTTAGAAATTTCAGAAATTCTAAAAAAAAATGTAAACTTTCTCGGCACTTTCGAAAAAGTCTCAATTTAAAAAAAAAATGATAAATTAAATTATTCAGAAATTCTGAAAAAATTTAAAATTTACATAAAAATTCTGAGAAAAAATTTTCAGTAAACATCAAATGTGTCAGTTTGACAGGATAAACCAATGGAGGAGCCATTCGATCGCCAGGTGTTTCCTGAAGGGCATCGCCGAAACATCGTTACATCCCTACGCGTTTCGCAGTGTCGTTTCACGGTGGCGCGTCTGATTCGCGTAGTATCCCAGCAAGTGTTTCCCCGAACATGGCGGACGGTGCTCGTTCGAATTTCCATGGGATACAATGAACGTGCGCCGAGCTCGCCGCGGTAATGCCGATAACTGAGGGCGTGTCGTGATCGTGTAGTCGGCCTACGTGGGTGCCCGGGGCGTCGTCGTGATTGTGGCGCGGCAGTGCGATACTTGTGCCGCCCGCGGCGCGCGGGGGAGCCGCGAGGGCGCCGACCGAGCGAGCGATCCGAGCGAGCGTGGAACGAGCCGACCGTGGCGGGGCCCCCCCATGCTTGTGTATCGTCGAATGTCTGACCGGAGTCGGAGGATGAAGACCGCATGTAGCAGCGCATGATTCCACGGCCGAGAAGCTTAGGTACGACCGTCCGGATCATACCGGACTGGATCCGTGCAGCTACTCGATCCGATCCGAACCGAACCGACAGATCCGAGCTTGGAGTCGCGCGGTGCCGGGTCGGGCGCGGGTTTATTTACGACGCCGTGGCGTCCAGAACGTCGCGCGCGACGAGCCACCCGTCCAGAACCATCACCGCGTCGTCACCGTCCCGTCGCCAAGGGCCGATCGGGCCTCCGAGGGTTGATGGTTCTTCCATTCCTCTTTCTCTCTCTCTTTCTTGCCTTTCTTCTCTCTTTCTCCTTTCTCCCTGTTTCTATCCGTCCTTCGCGCCGTCCTCGTTGGATTGATCGAACCGACGCAAGGAATCGCTCGCGTAGAGAAACGCGGAGATTCCGTAAGAGCGAAGAATACAGTCCCGCCGAACGCGGTTTCCGTTGGATGCATCCGTGAACGTTGCTGCACCGCGCGAACGGCTCCGAGAAGCGTCACGGCGCTCTCTCCTTCGACAGCGAGAGTGAGTGCGCCGGACTGTTTTTTTAATGAGATGCCGATCATATGGTCGCGCGACCGCGTTCCCGTACGTCGAATTGTGTAACGTTAGTCGTTGTGGCAGGTGGCGATGAACGGTATGGCGAATAATGATTTACCTGGATTTTCCTCGCACCTTTGAACGGGGACGCGCGCGGCCCCGTTGGTTACCTCGAACGCTTCTCGAGCGTCGTCGGTGATGTTCCGAGTCGAATCGCGTGTCGTTCTGTTAATTATATTCGAGAACTTTCTATACCACAGATTTATGCAAGTATTCGCGATAATCTGCAAACGGTTTTAACAATCGTATATTTACGATTTTAGTCAGATATATACAATCTAAAGCTTTTAGAGTGAATCTCGCTCTGAAGAGTAAAATCTCATTTTGAAGAGTCAAATTTCTTAAAGATTGAAAATTGAACCATTCTTTTCCAAGACTGACTCAATTTTCACTCTTTAGAGTGATATTTTACTTAAAAAAAAATTAGAGAGGTTAGAAACTTGTAATAACGAAGACTAACTACATTGTTTTTGCCCCCTTTTTGTATCGCAGCATATAAAGAAAAATCGTAACAAATTTCTCATACTATTGATATAATTAACTTGATGAAACAGATTTGGAAAGTGAGAGATATGAAGTCGTAATAAGTTTAAATTTTGTGTTATCTTATGTTTACCAACAGTTTATTTATATATATATATATAGAAGTTAAAGGTCTTTTACAGAGATTATTTATAAGATATATAGTGTCTCTTTATTGTTGTAGCTTGACTTAACTCTCTAGTAGATACACAACAAATAAGAGTCTAACGTCTTTAAGCATTGAAGCTGAATCTTGGATGCTTAATTTTCACATGGATTTATATACCACATATGTAGTCATTTAAACTGAGTGTTTCTAGTAGTGTTATTCTTGATCATATTTGATTATTACAGCTATACTGTTTATGATTTAGAAACAGGATAGAAAATGTCAGAAGCTGAAGAAAGTCTGGTAGCGCCCGATAGTACCACAAAGGAACAGCGAGTCGGTTTCTCTCATGGAGATGACGTTCTTCAACACAGAGATGGCAAATATTACCTTGGTACAGTTGTCGAGGTACGAACAAACTTATATTTCTCTTTAGTGATATTTAATAGTAATATTTAATAATGTTGCAACTCAATAACACTGAAATTTACTTCTACACTAAAGATGTCTTGTCAAATTTCTGGACAACACATCTTCCTGGTCATTGTTTAGAGAACTTACAAAATTGGCAATGCCAGACTCGGATGTTATGTGTGTTCTTTGTAAACAATCTCAGCCTAAGACTGACAATGACATTATCGTTTGTGATAAATGTAGCCGTGGCTATCACCAATTGTGTCATCAGGTACATATTAGGAATCTTACTTGATATCTGAAATTATAGAAATAAGTTCGATTATATTAATTAGAAACTGATAGAGATATAGAATATAATTATTATGCATTTGCAGCCTGAAATATCAAAACCAGAGTCAGGTAGAGATATTCACTGGATATGTAGAAGGTGCACAGATAGTCAGCCGCGTACGCGTGAATCTTGCGAGCCAAAAAATTCTATGGTTAAAGCAAGCATTAGAAAAGTTTGCAGCGGTAGGGACCAACCTCAACCACCACCAGATGACATGACAAAATTGCCATATGATGTAAGATTTAAGTATAATAGTAATAAAATGTATATTATTGTGCTCCAATAGTGTTTATATAATTATATTATTTTTATATATAAAACAGAATGTGCGCTTTAAAAATTTATGACAATAAAAATTCTACAAGATATTTTTACTATAACATATAATTTCAGCCTGATATGTTAAGTTGGGATAATCATCACAGAGTGAACGCTGAACAAATTTATTGTTACTGTGGACTAAATGGTGAATGGTATGCACAAATGTTACAATGTGGTCGTTGTAGACAATGGTTTCATGAAAAGTGCATCAGGTGCTTAACTCATCATTTGTACAGTGGTGATAGGTAAGTAAATATAAAAATGATTCAATTTAATTTGAATATACAGGTTATTCTTATTGAAGTACGAGTTTTTAAAATATACAGGTCATCTCAATCACTATCATCTTACACTTTTCCACAATCTTTAATTTTCTAATTAATCTTTTAAAATTGAGACATATACACACACATGAGGGAACTCAGGATTCATTGACTACGAATCAACTGCTCTTACATGTTATCCCATACAAGTCCTCTTCATGCAATTTTATGTAGTTAAATTATTAATAATTTTTACAGATTTTATGTATTTGTTTGTTCAATGTGCAATCATGGGAAAGAATTTATTCGGCGTTTAGAAATGAAATGGGTAGATCTGGTGCACCTGATGTTGTACAATCTGACTGTTTATAACGCTAAAAAGTATTACGACTTGGACACTGTTCTTATACCTTACGCAAATGACAACTGGTCGACCTTACAGCTTCCAACACGGGTAGGAGTCTTCAACATTGGAATATATATATATATATGTCATCTATAAAACAAATTATTCTAATTTATATTTAATTATAATATTTGATAACGTTTATGATAATATTGTGTATATATTTTTAGATTAAAAATGTCAGTCTCGATGTACGTAGGCAATCAATATTGACAGCATTGACAACTAATAGAAACAGGTTTAAATGTGGTAAAGAAATAAAAAAGCGCACTACAATATGGGGTCTCCGTGTCAGACTGCCACCACCTTCTCCGTTTATCAGTTTACCAATATCTGGTGAAATAGATGATTCTGTATTACGTAGATGTTGGGCTGGTAATAAAAGACTGCAATACCTTCCTCCTTCAAAAGAGTTAGTATAATGCAATCATAAATTGTATACAATATAAAATCAATTATTAATTTTTAGCATACATACATTAACATTTATGTAATGCGTAAAACTTATTATTTCAGTCCGGTGATTTTGCCAGAAATTACAAAACAATTGATTGCGTTAAAACAAAGGGTGTCAGAGAATGTAGAAATACCTGTGAGTCCTACACTTATAGCAATGCGAGGTACAATTTATCAAAATTCGGAAGCAGAGCAAAGTTCATGTCCAAGTCCACCTCCATTAACTGAATCCAGTCAATCGATAGAATCTTTAAGAAACAGGTATACTATTTTACACATATTTATTTACTTTTATTTCATCAAACTGTTTTTTTTTCTTTAAGACAATATAAGTTCAATTATTTCTATTATTAGCCCATATATATATATATATATATATATGTAATATACAGAGTGTATTTGAAATAACGCCCACTAATCATACAGTGCTATTCCTAAAAACTGAGTCTTCTATCATTTTGCAATTTCCGCAATATTTAACGAGATATTAATTTCTAAAGATTGCCGAATAAATGGATAAATTGTATAAGACAATTTTAAAATATCTTTCAGTGTTCCTTGTGAAAGATTTTAAAGATATTTCTTAAAGAATTCTTAAAGATATCTTAAAGTTGTCTTATCGATTTTAGACATTTTGCTCATTGGGTAACTAAAAAAAAGTATTGCGAAAATTGCAAAATAATAGAGGACTTTTTGACTTAGTTTTTTTATCAGGAATAGCACTATGTGATTAGTGAGCATTATTTCAGATACACTCTGTATATACAGGGTTCTCGTATCGTTCGATTTTTTTAGATATTTTCGATGTATTAACGACAAAATATTTCAAACAAGTTTCTAATAAAGAATTAATTGTGTGAAAAAAATTTCAAAATGGTTTATTTTTTAACAAAAAGTTAGAAGTCAACTTAAATTTTTTTTAAACAGAACTATATATTTTTCTTTTTATATTATAGTTTATACACACAAAGATGAATTCAATGCTTTAACATAATGTATTATTTTGATTATTGAATTTGAAGGTAATTTTAATTAATATTTAAAATATAACTCATGATTCTGTCGTCGATACTAAATTAGTGAGTCCCAAACATAATGAACGTAACCATGTTAAGAAACATACAAAGAGAATCATACAAGATTCTGTTGGTGAGATACAATGAGATATAATTACGGAACCAGTTTATCATGTTTAATGCTGTATGTTACATATTCGAGAACAAATCGCTACTCTCATACCGAAAAAATAGATATGATGTTATTAGTATTTGATGAATGCAAAAGAAATGCACGTGAAGCTGTCGCGTTATTTATAGTGAACAATATCCGGATAGAGTTCCTCCGTGAAAACTTTTTATAATATTATGCATTCTTTACACGACAAATTTCTAGATGAAAGACTCAATATATGGATAATATTATTTCTATGTATGTTTCTTAATATGATCATGTTTGTTTACGTTTGGGTCTTACTGTTTTATGTATCAACGACAAATCGTCAGCATATCATGAATTATGTTTTAAGTATTATAATTAAATTATCATGAAAGATCCAATGATTAAGAAGATATATAGTAATGTATCATCTTTTTGTATACTATAATAATATTAAAAAACAAATTTCTATTTAAAGAAATATATAGTTGGATTTTAATTTTTTTTTTAATGAACTATTTTGAAATTTTTCTTATGCAGTTCTTCATTAGAAACCAATAAACTTTTGCTCGAAACATTTTGTCATTATTTCATCAGCAATATCTAAAAAATTGTAACGATCGATACGATCCTTTGCATACATGTATATTGTAGAAATTGAACGAGTGGAGTGAATGCATGTAAAACATATGAAAGGCGAGAGACAGCAAAGAATCTAGATGCTAAATCAATGACAGAATACAAAACTTTATTTTTATAGTAATTGTAAATGTTTTATAGCAATCAAAGTGTATAGAAGTTTAAATATTTCAGTATTAATAAATGACTTTATTCTATTTCACATTACAATTTCAATGTTCTCTCTTGATATCTCTATTCGTATTATACTTATAATTCATACAACATATACATGTATTCAAAATATCATGAAATAAAACATTATTTTAACACATCTTAAAATCTTCTATTAGACAATTTAAATTATTTTTATAGATATTGCAACATAGGCGGCGGTTTTGTAAAAAAGTCATTCCCATTTCCTAAGTTGAGTGTACAAAAAAGACTTCGTCGTCTATTAGCATTAAGCAATTCACGAAGAATATTACGTAAACAGAAGAAAAGAGTAAATGAAGGTAGTAAGGAAATATCATTGGAAGACAGAGAAGCAAGATACAGAAAAGCAAGAATATTATTGAAGAACGCCATTGCCAAAGTAAAGGAAAGGAAGGTAAGATTATTGCATATTCATGTAAAAGCATGATAAAGTGATATGATAGTTATTTAAATTTATTACTTGTCTTCAGGAAGAATAAAAGATTGACTATTGCATTATATTTTTTACTAACAAGGGAACCTCTCGAGGTGTCAAATTCTGATTTTAATGAAACTTTGTGAACTTGTAGCTTACATAAAGAGATGAATTTAGAAAAAATCAGTGCGGCTAAAAAACGGTTTGAAGGGGTGAAATCATCTCTTACATGTACAGCGATTTTCAGCTTTTTCCGTTATATCTCGAAAACTATTTGAGATATAAAAAAATGTTTTATACAAAAGTTTTACAACAAAATTAGCTGTATTCAATCGCGTTTTTAGAATAATTATTTAACAATTTTTTTCGAAAATTTTGAAAAAATCGCGAACATTCAATATAGAGTTACTCGCAGGTTGCCAAAACTGTAGTGTTATCTGTTTAATTCATATATATAAGATGTTGGATTTTTACAGTAATTTATTCGAGTAACTCACCTATTCGATCGCAAAATCTCATCTTGAAACCTTGGATTATATGTTAGTATTCACAGCAAATCATTATATAATTAAAACAAACCTATTTAAATTCATTCCATAAGTTCGGAGTGTCGAATATAATAAATATAAAGTATATAGATATTGTGTTACAGATTTTAGTATGTGACGCAAATAACATGTTTTCCATAGATATTATAAAGACATTATAAGAATAGAAATCTAAGAACGCGAAATCTAACATAGTTATAAGATGATTGCTGATGAGGATTCCAAAGAGAATTGAAACGTTCAAGAATTCGAATAAAGATGATTCCAACACATCACATGGATTGACAAGTTTACTTTGTTGACAAATTATTACGCACCTCCGCTCGCGTTGACTCTTATTAGCCCAATTAGTTTATATTTTTTTATATCTCAAATAGTTTTCGAGATATAACGGAAAAAGCTGAAAATCGCTGTATACGTAAGGGGTGATTTCACCCCTTCAAACCGTTTTTTAGCCGCAACTGATATTTTCTAAATTCATCTCTTTATGTAAGCTACAAGTTCACAAAGTTTCATTAAAATCAGAATTTGACATCTCGAGAGGTTCCCTTGTAAGTAAAATGCCTTCTTGCATACAAGAATGATAAATAATGTCATTTTCGTTTCTGTTAATGCAGAGCAAACCACAGAGCTCAGAAGCATCCGATTTACCGCCAACACCTCCAACTTCTGTTTCTGGACCGCCAACACCACCAGCTACAACATCAGGTATATCCGAGCTATCCGTGCCTAGTTCTGTGGATCTAATGCATCCTCTGCCACCTTCGACACCTGCAGACACAAGTGGAGATGAAACCAGTTCAAGAGGAACTCTTGATTCTTTTATTCCACTACCCAAAGATTTTGAAGGAAAGAATAATCCATTCAGTGATTTAGTGGGCACGCCTTGTAGCAATCAGACAAATGTACACCATTCCTCAAGTACACCGTTACCTTACAATCAGTGTCCCATTACCTTGCCTCTGCCACTGACGCCTGTGATCTCGCAACCGCCAGTGGTACGTCCAGCCAAAAGGCAGTTATCGGAAAAGGACATTATCATTGATAGAAATGGGCAAGTAAAACGTAGAAGGCAACATCGACGAGGACGACCACCTGTCCAACAGCAAGTCCAGCAACAATTTCAGCATACTGCTAGCAAAACGGCAACTATTATACCGGCTCGTAATAATGAAATTAAAAGTGAATTTGCCAGGAATTTAAGAAGTTCATTTAATGGTGCCTCGAGCAGTGCAAATAGTCAAATTGGGAATTGTGTGGATTATGCCTTAAATGGTAGGAGGTTGAGACAGCGGCAAAGTAATGATAAATTACCTCCCCCCGATCCGCAACCACAAAGAAAGAGCAGTATATCTTCATCTCCAAAGTGTTCGCCTGTAAAGCAAAGTGCGCCTGACATATCTCTGGATGATTTGAAATCTTCGGTGAATATTTACTTCGGTGCAGCTAATAGAATAGCTGCTGGTGAAAAGTTTGTCATCAAAGCGAAGAGGATAGGGCCAAACGGTCAGACACAATACCTCATCGAATGGGAGGGACTCAATACTTAACGGTAAATAATCCGCTTACTACGAATATATTACGCAATCGTATACAACTTTTAAGTTCAAATCAAGCGTAAGATGGCGATCACTTCCTCGGCATTTTATAATCAATTCTTTCGATTTGCTTTTACGGCAAAATGATTGTGATCGATTGTTTTGCGTTACATGCACTGCCACTTGTTACGTACATTTCATTAAAATGTATGTATTTATCGGCGTAGAATATGTGAATGTTCTTGTAAACGTACGTTTCTTATTTTATTAAATTATTAATTTGAATCTTGTGCGAGAGATTTTTGTTACGCACAATAGATATTATTGTTAGACGATGAATTCATTGCAGAATCAAAAATAAAATTGCTTTATCGAATAGTGTGTCAAATTATATTAAAAAGACGATTTTTTTACGTTTATTTATATTTTTAACCACAAAAAAGTATACGCTCCATATCGATTATCAACGTGTACATCTCATCGTTCATACATACATCTATTATATATAGTTAAACGAATATACACACCGAAATATACCTGCTTGAAAAAAAACGTTTGCAAGAACAATCGGATGTATTGCTTATCAACTGTAAATAGTGTAGCATAGTAGACTTGCGGAAGTATTAACGATGTAAGTCATGCGAGAAAAAAATTCCGTACGATTTACATTCGTTACAGAAAGATTGGCCAATCGTCTTCTCTAAATATCACTGCTAAACTGCGAATAACAATAAAAAATGAATTGAACTAGATATTTGGCAAAAAAAGTGAATTGAACTAGATATTCTTATACTAACGTACTAGCAAATGTTAGTGGTTAGTAGTAAAGAACAAAATAAAGCAGACATCCTGCGCAAAGGTTATTTTTCAATACACTTGTAGAGATAATCGTCGCTTTCTGTAATTTCATTGTCTTGGGTTACATTTTATCCTTTCTGTACATGACAATACATGATGCAAATTTCTCTAGAAATTTATCTTAATTTTTACATTTATAAATTAGTTTATATATATCTGATATTGAATGCATGAAAGGAACGCAGTCATAATATTCTCTTCATAATATTTTTATCAATCAGACTTATCAATCTTGTGTACTTGAGACGATGAAGATACAGATTTAGCATTGCTCATTATTATACAAGACTAAGAGAAAATGGCACATCTGTTTCATAACATTTGAAATTAAACGAAAGGCACACTGAATATGTAAGTAATTGGCCAAGTTATCTGTGCAAAAGTAATACCGTAAATATGAACTACTCAAAACTGTGTTAACAAGCACACAATACGTGAGCTCATTATTGTGTAGTTATGCACTGTAAAAAATGATCTTTATGTATTAAACAACTAGAAGCTAAATTATGATTGTACATAAGTATAATGGTATCTAAACTGTCAATGTAACACAGTTAGATATAGTAGTCAGTAAATGTAACAGTGTCGCAAATTATCTTACAATAATTTTTGATACAAATTATTTTATACAACAACTCCGGATCCTGCTGGGATTATTATGTAAGACGCATTTTGTACCTCAAACTGCACAGAATCTATGGTCAACTTACTAATCAGAAAATACAAGCAATTATAAGCGATATAACATATAGACACTGCAGTAGTAGCCATTATTAAAGTTTCAAATCAAAAGAGCTTATTAGAAATGTGAACTCTAAGCACTTCATTTTCGGTCTACCATGAATTATAGAAATTCACTCTTATAATGGAACTTCATTTTAGATTTTGCAAAAACATATATTTTTATTTGTGACGCGTTGCTAATAGAAAATTAACATAATGTTATTATATTAATGTATTCTTATTTCTCGGAAATTCTATCGGAAACAGAAATTTTAGATATGAACATAGTTCATCTCTTATGTATAATGACTACGTAATAATTTTAGAAGCGCATTTACATTTTTTAATATAATTCTTATCAAATTGTTTAAAGTTAATAAGATCGATATTATTCTAGATAATTTTATTTCGAATTTCACAATAGATTAAAATGACGAATTCATAAAAAAGAAAACTCATGCTCGAATCAACATTATAAAATATAAGTATTCATCGACGCTATTTATTTAAACTTTTTAAATGCAATGCAACGGCACTTTTGCATTTTGTTTTCTTGGAAGAGGCTCAAGCAATCTGAGGCCACTGTGGTATGAAATGAGAGATTACGAATTGTCTTCTTATGTAGTAAGATTTTATACAAGTCAAACGATGTGTCAAAAACTTATAATCTTCCTTTCGTCAACCTTTAGATAAATAATTTTTATAAAATGTATACAATAATAGATTTCTTTCATATATTTCGGCTCACACATTTGGAATCATATTTTATATATATATATTTCTCACATCTTTCGAAATATACCGTTTAACGATATTATTTCAAAAATTTCTAATCTATTATATGTGTATATATAATATAATTCAACGATATATATAATATATAATATATATAATTATACATTATGTATATGAACATATTTTATATATAGACTTAATCGCATAAATTATTTTATGTTATACGCATTTTTTTATGTTGTTACGACAACTTCAAGAACATCTTTTTCGATTCATACCACAGCACACTCTACTGATATCATCTTCTCTAGAGTGATATGTAGGTAATATTGGACGAAGACAAGAAATGAACACTGCCAAATTTCTAAGTTATATTTAATAAATGACATCGTATTGCGCTATATATGTATAATGGCGTTTAATTAAATGGAATTGCGATTTATATTTAGCGTCGCGCGTTATTTTATGCGCGAATTTCGCGGAGACGTATCGCTAACGAAATTTCAACAAAACCGTTTCATATCTATATGCATCCAAGTCTCATGAAAGTAAAATAAATTATGAATTTTAGCGTTTGTCGCATTTGATGTAAGAGATGGCGTACGGGAAGCAAAAACTCAAATGATTTAAAATCCAAATTGTGTATGAGAAATTGAAGAAGCATTTTACATTTTTCTATACCGTTATCTCTAATTGCACGGTTATATAAAGGCCAAATCTAGGACATAAAACATTAAAAGAGACACAAACGTAGATTGTCCAGAGTATTTAATACCTGAGTTAAAACAAATTATAAATCGTACGATCGTAAAAATGTACGCTCTCTAACCCTGACATGGTTTATTGATACTTTGTTTTCCTTATAAATACGAAGTGCCGTTATGTGGTAACTAATTATATCTACCTGGATATCTACCTATATAATCAAGATTTAAATTTATCAATCTATTTATTTATCGACAACGTGATGAAATGGCTAGATATAAATTGCCCAATTTTTTTCCACAGAAAAAAATTAACAGTGCTATTATTACCAAGTAGTTATTATTATACCAATTAAAAGAACTGATATTTATTAATTCGTATGAAAAAATTGATGCTTATTAATTTATCAAATCATATTCATCCGAGTATTACAGTGAAAAGCAAAAACTAAGGGCATTTTTTCACCAGATTCGTTAGATGATTTTTATACAATTTTGTTATTTTGTGCTTCTAGATTTGTTCTCGAAAAAGTATTCTCAAACAATATAATTATATGTTGTGATGTTTATGAAAAATGTTTATGTTTCTAAAATACGCAAGAGCAGCGTTTTGTGAGTTTTAGGGCGGTATTCATAGTCCGTTCTTGTTTTAAGACCATCTTAATGTCTTAAGACGTTAATACAGCTCTCTGATTGATTGGCTTATGACATCTTAAAACTGCACTAAGGACAATCTCAAATATAAGAATCGACTGAATGCCGGCCTTAGATTCTCCCCTGCCCATCTCTCGGTTTAAACGATGCTAAAGCGATGCGAGACAATTCCATCGACAATCTATTGCCGTTTCTTTCCTTTTATTACCGTATGCTTAAGTAGGATAAACGAAGGACACTTCGTCGCATCGGTGGTGCGTTACTAATGATTTAAGGCTATCGACCATGCGTTTCAACATCGAAAAGCGTCATCTTCGCGACTTCGTAGCATTTTTGTACAAGACGTTTACATATATGATTTCTACGTATCTAGGGCGAACGATTTTCGCGATCTTCGAGGCCCGAATTGTTTAGATTTCTTATCGAGCGCAGAAATCGGAAAGGAGAGCCATTAAAATTAACGCCGCGTATAAATTCATGCTGGCTCGCGCGGATTTTAATCGCCGCGGGGAAACACGGTCCGCTCGTCTCGTAGAACCGAGGAAGATGTTGTCTAGTTAATTATCGCTGTCGCGAGATGAAATTCACGTTCGGCCATGCATGTCGAATCGGCGGCCTGTCCGTACATGTCTAATCGAAGCGGAATGTTCGCCGCGCGACGAGGAAGATTCGTAAGAAGGCGAAAGTTATACTGCCAGTATCATGTGTGTACATATTATATGACTCCTACATCCCCCCCATTTTTTAACATATAAATATCTTTACAAATACACACCCAGTGTAGCGCATATAGTTGATACGTTATATTACCGTTTGTATATGACGATTACAGAGCGTGCGATAACGAGTTTGAGCCAAGCTCGGCGTGTTACTTCCAGAGCGGATCCCACCGTCGCCGCTCTCGGCGGCGTGTTCTAGTGTTCTTCGTTATGAGATTTCAATCGCGAGACGTAGAAATTACGATATCTCAGCATTCGCGGTGCGTCCTCGGCTGCAAGAGGAATTAGAATTCCTTAAGTAAGAGCTTGGACACTGATTAGACAATTTTTTATTGATCCGTCATGTATTTCAGGCTAACGATGGAATTTATATTTTATTGTTTACTTTATCGGTTTAGTTATTATGGTAAAAATAATATTTATGTATATGTATTATTGAATTCATTTTTTAACTCGGGAATAGTCATCTGTTTTTATATCCTAACGGCGAGAAAATGTAAATTGTTGTAAAATTGTTTGCCATATTTTCTTTCTTTTAAATATGCAATTTCATCGAAAATTTGTATTAAAAATGGTATTTCATTAATTAATATCTTTATTTTTAAAAAATATTGTCACAAGTTATTTAACATGTTTAATATGTATATGTTTAGTTTCTACTTACTTTTTTTCAGAAAATTATGATTAAATCTTTATGCATAATGTTCTCAAATACAAATGAATCGGAAAGAGTAAAACATGTTTATAATAATAATTTCTAATTGTGTAAAAATATTCCAAGTG